TTCCCCCCCATCAGCCCTTAGCGCTGACCAGAGCTTGATAGCCCCCCCTCAGCCCTTCGTGCTGACCCTTCCAAGCTGGCCATGTTGCTGCTAGTGCATGTGGGTGCAGGGGGCACGTCTGAGAGCAGGTTTCACCTGAGGATGCTGTGGCTGGGTGGAGGGAAATCAAGGCACTGAGGCATCAGCATGGCAAAGGTGCCGCGTGCTGATTTATCTCTCACGTGAAGAGGTGTGGTAGGCTGACGCCATGATTGATTATCCCCTATTAGTGATGAACGAAGACATTAGTCATGGTAGAGAGAATCCCGCTAAGGTCAGTCAATCCTGCTGAGCCTGGTGTGGAAGTGTTCTTTGGTGGGGTCCAGGTTGCCAATGTACAGGGGAGCAAAGGGTAGGCTGTGTCCCCCAGCAGGCACGTGGGCATGTCCATGTCCCTGACGCTGACGGTGCCGTTGGGGAAAAAAGTGCTGGTGCACATCCTGTGGAGTTCCAGAAGACACGAGCATTGTGTGCCTTCCCCGACCATGGGGGCTGCAGCACTGGGGGAAAATCCCCTTCCTATTGATTAGTAAGAGGCCTGGTGGGCGGGGGCCAGGATGGGGATGTGCATGCTGTCAATGCTCTCCCCCCTGCAGCTGGGGAAGCCCATGGCAGCAAAGCCAGTGATGAGGGGTCCATGTTGCCCAGCGTGATGACCCTCTGCAGCAGGATGGCATTGATGGCCCTGACCACCTATAGAATCATAGGGTTCCTGGAAGCAGCGTTGCAGGGAGTCTGGAGGAGAATGGTGAAGAGGTCTCCCAGGCTGAGCTGGTCACCGTCCTGCTACAGCACCTTGTGGGCAGTCCGCATGAACTCCGCTGTGAGGTGCAGCAGGAGGCCCAAGAGCCTGGCACTGCTTTGCGGCAACTCCAGCTCCTTGGGCGTCCCCAGGGGCAACCAGAGCACGCAGGGGGTAGGCAATGGAGAAGAGGCGTGTGAGATGCAGTGGTAGAGAGGAGCCCCTTGAAGCTCCAGTCTTAGCTAGCCTCAGCAAGCAGCTGCAGGACAGCTACTGCTCTCCTGATGCCTCCCAGAGCACTTCCAGGGGGCTTGAATGCGATTCAGGCTCTAGTCAGCATGAACATGCTATTTGGTCCAATTCTGTGCTATTTCGATGGGAACTGGTAGTGTGGACGTGCTGGTTCAAAATAACGATGTGGGGAGTTGTTAGTGATAGAAATGTAGCCGTGTTAGTCTGGTGTAGCTGAGACAAAATACAGGACAATGTAGCACTTTAAAGACTAACAAGATGGTTTATTAGATGATGAGCTTTCGTGGGCCAGACCCACTTCCTCAGATCAAATAGTGGAAGAAAGTAGTCACAACCATATATACCAAAGGATACAATTTAAAAAAATGAACAAATATGAAAAGGACAAATCACATTGCAGAACAGAAGGGGGATGCGGGGGGGTGGGAAGGGGGAGGAAGGAAGGTAAGTGTCTGTGAATTGCTGATATTAAAGGTAGGGAGAGTGGGATGTTTGTGAGTTAATGGTATTACAGGTGATAATTGGGGAAACTGTCTTGGTAATGGGTGAGAAAGTTCAAAGACTTGTTAAGTCCTTGTTGGTAAGTGTCGAATTTTAACATGAATGACAGTTCAGAGGATTCCCTTTCAAGTGCAGATGTAAAAGGTCTTTGTAGCAGAATGCAGGTGGCTAAGTCATTTAGAGAGTGTCCTTTCTGGTTAAAGTGGCAAGAAACTGTTTTCTCTTTGTGCTCCTGTCTGATATCTGTTTTGTGGGCATTAATCCTTTGGCGAAGTGTCTGAGATGTTTGTCCAATGTACATAGCAGACGGACACTTTCGGCACACGATAGCATAGATTATATTTCTGGATGCGCAGGAATATGTGTTCTTGATCTTGTAACTCACTTGGTTAGGTCCAATAATGATATCAGTAGAGTGAATATGTGGATAAAGCTGGCGACGGGGTTTGTTGCAAGGGAAGGTACCAGGGTTGGTATTAGTGTGGTATGTCCTGTGGTGGTTGGTGAGAATCATCTTGAGGTTAGTTTTATTACTAACTTCCCAGTGTAGACATGCCCGAGTGTCACCCGGTGCCTTGGATAATGTTGCATGCGTTTCAGCAAGGCGCCACCGAGGGTCACTCTCTCCCTTACAGAGCTGTGCATGCATTGCAGTGAGTGGCCACTGCGGGTCACATGATCCCAGCTACATGTTCGGTTAGTCTTTAAGGTGCTGCAGGACTATTCCTTGTTTTTTAAATTCCTCCATTAGAGAATTGCTACATGCATCACTGGGAGCGGCCACCGGGTGTCGCTGTTGCCCCAGTACAGGATTGCTAAGTGCAATCAAAAAGTAATAGCAAAATGTGTTTTAAGTACATCAGGAGCAGGAAGCTGGGTAAACAAGCAGTGGGCCCCTGGGTGATCTAGATGCTAAAGGAGCCCTCAAAGATGATAAAGTCATTGCAGAGAAGCTAAATGAATTCTTTGCTTCAGTCTTCATGGCTGAGGATATTGGGGAGATTCCCAAACCTGAGCTATTCTTTTTAGGTGACAAATCTGAGGAATTGTCCCAAACTGAGGTGTCATGAGGGGAGGATTTGGAACAAACTGATAAACTTAGCAGTGACAAGTCACCGGGACCAGATAGCACACACCCAAGAGTTCTGAAAGAACTCAAATGGGAAATTGCAGAATTATTAACTATGGTTTGTAGCCTATCCTTTAAATCGGTTTCTGTACCTAATGACTGGAAGATAGCTAATGTAACACCAATACATAAAAAGGGCTCTAGAGGTGATCCTGGCAATTACAGATCGAGAAGTCAAACGTCAGTACTGGGCAAATTAGTGGAAACTATAGTAAAGAATAAAATTGTCAGGCACATGGATGAACATAATTTGTTGGGGGAAAGGCAACATGGTTTCTGTAAAGGAAAATCATGCCTTAATAATCTGCTAGGTTCTTTGAGGGGATCAACAAACATATGGACAAGGGGGTCTGGTGGATGTAGTGTACTTAGATTTCCAGAAAGCCTTTGACAAGGTCCCTCACCAAAGGCCCTTAAGTAAGTTGCCATGGGATAAGAGGGAAGGTCCTTTCATGGACTGGTAACTGGTTAAAAGACAGGAAGCAAAGGGTAGGAATCAATGGTCAGTTTTCTGAGTGATGAGAGATAACTAGTGGGGTCCCCCAAGGGTCTGACATTTATTCCTCCCCTTTGTTTCCTGTCTTTTACCCAGTTCTCAATCCAAGAAAGGACCTTCCCTCTTATCCCATGACAATGTAATTTACACAAGAGCCTTTTGTGAGGGACCTTGTCAAAGGCTTTCTGGAAATCTAAGTACACTACATCCACCAGACCCCCTTGTCCATATGTTTGTTGATCCCCTCAAAGAACCTAGCAGATTATTAAGGCATGATTTTCCTTTACAGAAACCATGTTGCCTTTCCCCCAACAAATTATGTTCATCCATGTGCCTGACAATTGTATTCTTTACTATAGTTTCAGCTAATTTGCCCGGTACCAATGTTAGACTTACTGGTCTGTCATTGCCAGGATCACCTCTAGAGCCCTTTTTAAATATTGGTGTGATCACGTTAACTACCTTCCAGACAGTAGGTACGGAAGCCGATTTAAAGGCTACAAACCACAGTTAACAGTTCTGCAATTTCCCATTTGAGTTCTTTTAGAACCCTTGGATGAATGCCGTCCGGACCCGGTGATTTGTTCATGTTAAATTTTTCTATTTGTTCCAAAACCTCCTCTAATGACACTTCAATCCGGGACAGTTCCTCAGATTCATCACCCACAAAGGACGGTGCAGGTTTGGGAATCTCCCCAACATCCTCAGCTGTCAGGATTAAGGGGGGGGCTAGCTGCACCGCTGCCCGGGGCACCAACCTATGGGGGGCGCCTGATTGAAGTGTTAAGGGGCGCCGTGCACCCAGGGGCGGGGCCGCACATGCACTGCACACCTGGGGCCGGGCTGCGCATGCGCTGCGTGCCCGGGGCCGTGCATCCTCCGCGCACCTGGGGCCGAGCTGCGCATGCTCCGTGCGCCTGCTGCTCGAGGCACAGCTATGGCTTGGTCCGGCACTGTCAGCTGTGAAGACTGATGCAAAGAAATCATTTAGCTTCTCCTCAATGGCTTTATCATCCTTGATTGCTCCTTTTGTATCTTGATTTTCTAGAGGACCCACTGTTTTTTTAGCAGGCTTCCTGCTTCTAATGGACTTAAACATTTTGCTATTTTTTTTAGTTTTTGGCTAGCTGTTCCTCAAAATCTTTTTTGCTTTTCTTATTACATTTTGACACTTGATTTGACAGTGTTTCTGTTCCTTTCTATTTATCTCACTGGGATTGGACTTCCACTTCTTGAAAGATGCCTTTTTGACCCTCACTGCTTCTTTTACATGGTGGTTAAGCCATAGTGACTCTTTTTTAGGTCTCTTGCTATGTTTTTTAATTTGGGGTATACATTTAAGTTAGGCCTCTATTATTGTGTCTTTAAAAAGTTTGCAGGGATTTGGCTCTCGTCACTGCCTTTTAATTTCTGTGTAACTAACCTCCTCATTTTTGAGTAATTCCCCTGTTTGAACTTAAATGCCACAGCTATGACTACGAACAGTTCTGGCCCTGGTGCACCTGACTCTGGCATCCCCATGAGACCACGTTTCTCCAAGAGCCTCCAGCGACATTGGCTACAGCCTCTTCGGGAACCTGCTTCTCTCCTTCTGCTGGCAAACTGCTGTGGATTTCTCTGTGCCGCTGCCAGTGCTTTAAATATTTGAACTGGACAATGAAGTCATGATTCAGTGGCTGACAAATACCGGCCGAACTGGCTGCCTCCCAGGCAGGAAGAGTTAGATCATGTAATGTCTTAAAGACACAGCTCCTCCGTGTCCAAAGAAAACCTGCGCAAAGAACTGGCTCCTTCCCGTAGGGGCCCATTACTGAGGACCCGGCCTCGTGGCAGGCTCCCAGCGCAAACCAACGCCTGACTTAGCTTTCCGTGAACCCAGGGACACGCCTGGGACCGAGATTCCATGGAACTGTTTAGTCTGGGTTTCCTTTCAAGTGGACAATGCCAGTTTGGGATCTGCACAGCCCTGCCGGGTTCAAGTCCTCGTGCCAGGCAGGTATGACAGGCAGAATCGATTGTGCCAATCTGTACATTGTAGTTTGTGCGGCTGTCTGTCTGAGCCTGTTCAAGAACTCCTCCGCTAGTGGTAAGAGCTAGAACCACCAGATTGGACAGGCAGCTTCCTCTTTTTGGACCGTAAAGCAAACTCAGGGTTTGGCTGTGCCAGGACAATGGGAAATGCCTGGAATGGGGCTGCTGTCCATAACAAGGCAAGGGAGGGGGCTGAGAGCAGGGACGGCTGTGCTCTGAAAGGACCACGGGGGCAGAGAGCACAGAGCACAGTTATACTGCAGAGTGACCGGGGGTGAGTGGAGCAGACCCAGCCCTCTGTCCCCGAGGAGGGCCCGGCCCCACCCCAGAGGGGAAGAGGGTCCTGGCTGGGTAGCAGAGTCCCAGACCTGCCCTCACCCCAGAGCAGCCCTGGGCTAGAGGGGGGCAGTGT